CCTTTTGCGGCAAGCGGCGGCCACCTCTCGAAAGTGGAAGATCATTTTCCCCCATGGGAAGTGAACAAAGGCTTCGTTCCCAGGGCGGAAGCGGGTGGTCGCCCTTGCGCCGGGGTAATTGGGGAAATGACATTGTCAATGCCACGATGGCGACTCCGGGGAGAGCGGAAGGTCTGGCCACCCCTTCGGAATGTCGGCGTGCCTTTCTTGGAAGAGAAGTTGAGTTTGAAAGAGCCCGTGCGCGGAGCAAGACGTCATCCTCCCGCGGTCCCGAGGGCTTCGCGTACTCTGTTTTGGGGGACAGAGAACTTGCCGTGCGCGGCAAGGTACTTGGCGCCGAGGCGCTATTGTTGGCGTTGGGCTGCCGCGAGCGGGAGCAGCAGCGGGACAGCCCCTGTATCGCATTCGCTCTCCAGTGTAAATGTATTAATGAAAACTATCATCACCAGTCCTCCGGTTTCTGATTTCAAAGAACGGCAGACACGCACCTCACAGCATTCCACGGTCACCCGGTCCCGGTCCCGGTCGAAACCCGAGGGCGACGACGGGGTCCGCGAAAACAACCATCCTCAGGGGAGGGCGACCATTACTGCCATGATGTCGCGCTTTGATGCCGTTTGATTGGTCCGATTGGGTCGCAGAAGCGGCTGCGCGTTAAGTTAAGGTGAAACGAAGTATTGAGATTGCTCGTCAACCGCACTGGTTGGTTGATGCGCTGGCGGATTGATCGTCAACATCGTCTAAATTTCCTGACGATGTCGTCGATGTGAGGAGCTAAAAGTTGCGAGAAGGCATTGCCAAATTGTAGGATGGTGGCTACTGTGAGAAGAGGGAACCAGGGTCTTGTACTCCATCATGAGATCACTTAGTTTTTATGTCTGCCGCCTGCCTCCGTGCCGCCTCACCAGCGCGCGCGTTTCGAGCTTCACCGCTCTGAACCGCGAGTGCTAGGTGCTGCGGCTGACATGGGGGAGCGCCTGGGTTAGCGCGATAGACTCAGTAACTATGATCAGTACTATTCCAGGTCTACTTTTTTTTTTTTTTTGTCTTGGTGGACGGCTGATCTCCAGTTTTAACAACCTGCCACAAGAAGAAAAAATCAGGTTCATGTCGAGAGTTGGGCTTGTTGGTATTCGTTGATCATGATGTAAAAACAGCGCAAACAAACACGGACGAAGGAGAAGAAACACGCAGACGGTACAGGCGCTGACTAGCAACTGAAACTTTATTACTTGAAAAAGGAAAAAGAAGAAAATAAGATAAAAACACACACACACACCAGGAAGACCCCAAATCAGCACTCTCACTTAAACACGTACGTACGTGTCAGCCCCTTCCCCTATCAGCAGCATCACATCACCGCGTTTATAACATCCCCCTCTCGTGTAATAAGTGTTACGTCGGGCAGACAGTACGTTGTTTAAACGATCGGCTTAGAGAGCATAACTACTCTCTTAGTGCTACGATTGGAGGGCACCTCTCGTTGCGCTACAACGTATGCAAGTGTAAACCGTCCTTCCCAGACACTGCAGTATTAGGACGAAACAAAGATAGATTGACGAGAGAAGCGCCCGAGGCCTTTCACGTTGTCACTCGGGGGGATCGGTGTGTGAGTGAGGCCTCAATAACGCTTTCACAAAAAGAATTTGAATTTATGCGCGACAGGGTGAAAGTTGGCCACGCGGTGATGTGATGGTGCTGATAGGGGAAGGGGCTGACACGTACATGTCTGAGTGAGAGTGCTGATTTGGGGTCTTCCTGGTGTGTGTGTTTTATCTTAATTTCTTCTTTTTCCTTTCTGAAGTAATAAAGTTTCAGTTGCGAGGTCAGCGCTTGTACCGTCTGCGTGTTTCTTCTCCTTCGTCCGTGTTTGTTTGCGCTGTTCTTACATTATATATGATCAAAAAACCGGGTCTATATTTGAATATATGGTATAGGGTCGTTCTCGTGCAGCTCGATCGAAAGAACAGCAAACTTTGACTTCCCTCTGATTTCAACGCCGCTAGGGAACAGTGTCACTTGCACAAGTCTAGGTTTTCATACTATTTGGGGGTGGTTGTTTTGGTAGTTTATAATACTAAAGTCTCGCGTTCGGTAGGTTCGTAACATTTGGGAGGCGCATTTTTGTTGATAGGCGAGCTGGTTTTTCCAGCCATACTAGTACATAACCTATATATACAGGCAAAATAAACTACGCTCTGTTCAAGTGCGAGTGTAGAAAAGTTTTATCCCAACTGAAGTCTTGCGCTATCATTTATTTTTCAGCATTTTCTAAAAAGAAATATGTTTAGATTGAAAATAGACGTAGGCAGTTCAGTGACCATTTAAAATCTAGAATTGTTTCGCTAGAGACTTTTAAATTATAGATAGATAGATATATATATAGCCCGGCCCGCGGTCTGCCCCCATCAAGTCTGCTGCTGCCGGTGCAAAAATAAGCGCTCGTTGAAAAACGGCGCCGCAACGCGCACGATCCGCGTAAACAAAGATATAAAAAAACTGCCATTGTAATGCGCGTTCTCTCATATTATTCATCGAGCATTTTCATCACCAGCATCCCTATGCTTAGTCCCCCCCTTTTTTTTTTTTTGTCATGTCTGGGTAACTACGTGCGTCAAAATTTCCTTGCGTTCCTATCTATATTGCGTTTAGTTCCCTGTGTCCATCTATTGCATATTGTCAGCATTAGTTCTAAGATTCGCTTTAGCCTTCTCCACTGTGAGAACACACCAAAATTCCTGCGTGCTTTGATTTATGTCTGGTGAGTTTTCTTGGTCCCAATTATTGTGCAGTGTCTTAATTAGATAATTATTGATTTTCATCCAGCATACATTATTTTATTATTTTTACTTAAGTTTAGTTTTGCATTTGTATGCTTATCCGGGACCATGTATTTAGGTTCTCCTCATTCAAACTTGCTTATTTGTTTTCCGACCCTCGAGACAGGGACACATCCCCGATTCGTCGCCTTAGCCAAAAATGTTTGGAGACCCCTCCACAAGATAATCGAAAACGACTTTCAAAGAACTGCTGTAGGGAGCTTTCAAAAACATTGTTTACTGCACAAAGAACTGAAATAAGTCACAACGATTAAAGCAAAAATCTTATTTTAACTGACATTTCATTATGAACAGTAAAAAACGGTCTGTACTAAGAAAATGTTAGGTGAGCCTTTCTTCCTCTTCTCCCCTTCTCCTCCTCTTTCGTACCTTCCCCTCCTTTTCCTCCGAATGTGACGTCAATTTTCCCGTTAAATCTAGCAGAGAGACTGAATTTATTCATAGGTGACGTGACACAAAGTCATGTGACGTCACTTCCTCCGCTAAATTTAGTGAGGGAAACTGAGTTGGTGTTGAGGTCACGTGACGTCAATGTTCCCGTTAAATCTAGCGGAGAAACTGAATTTGGTCATGGGTGACGTGACACCAAGTCACGTGATGTCATTTTCCCGGCTAAATTTAGCGTGCAATTGAATTGGTGGTGACAACACGTGACGTCAATTTTCCTGCTAAATTTAGCGCTGTTGCGCCGATGTCGCGAAACCCAAAAACGAGCGCCTAAACGCCCGTTCACACACTTACGACCTCTTAGAATCGGGTGCCTTGGAACCTCTTAATATCTCTTACAACGAGAGGACACACTGGCGCCATCTGTTTCGTAGCAGTGTAAACTTGGCGGTCCGGAATAGTTTCTATTTCTCTCGCGCATTATCGTTTCTTTCTTGGCTCGAAAATTTTTTGTCAACGTTACAAACGAGCCATTCTTATGTATATTACGCACATTTGACCTCAGAAATTTCGCAAAACCAATTCATACTTGTGAAATGCAGTTCCAGGGTCACCGCATAGATGGCGCCAGAGTGCCAGTGTGTTCTCTCGTCAGATAAAATTAGTACAAACGACAAGAGAAGAGCTCTTGTCGTTTGCGCTAATTTTATCTCATCATGTTTAACCAACTAGCCCAACAGATGATATTGATGATGTTCTCTCGTCCTAAGAAATTTTAAAAGGTTTCAACAGGTGTCGTCTCTCTCGGTCGTACTCGGTTGCAAGGGGGTACTCCGCCGATTTTTGAGCTACCTCAACTAACTATATTTTCTGACTCCCAGGCCTTTACCCGTTCTGGAATGCTATTTAGTATCGCGAAATTCATAATAGTTATTGCGAAATCGGCAAATGAAAATGATGTGAAAACAGACATTCAAATATACCCGCCCTTTTCAGGGCCGTGACGTCAGTGGAAGTTCAGCTTGCCAGTCGGGCGAGCAGTCTAAAAAATAGAATATGCCAATCATTTGTTCCGTGCTGGTGCGCGGGGACTGGAGCGAGCTTCCAAGGCATTCATTTGACACCATGAAACTGCTTTGAATCAGTTGGGAACAAATTCTACAGTCCAAAGAGTGAACCCCTGCACTTCCAATGACGTCACTTTTTCATTGTTGCCAGTAGAGACTTTCAGTTTGAAAAACACGGTGAGGACCAAAATTGTAAATTCAATAACTTCGTGAAAAAAAATTATTTTGACCTAATATTTGAGATACTATTTTGGCGATGTTGTTTGGCGAGTTTAGCAAAATTTCAAGCAAATCGGGGACCATGAAGAAATCGGCGGAGTAACGCTCTGATAGCATTTTACCAACGGGACAGCATCTCCTTCAGGAAAGTATCCTTTTGCTGAAAGGTTATTTATATAAAAGGGCGTCTTCTGACCAGGATAAAAGCATAAAAATAAGTCTTTGGAACTTTTTTTTTTTTTTTTGTCATCAAGAAATTTGTTTCTGCTTGGTTTGGTCCGTGCTTGGATCTGCATCCAATATTTGTGTCTAGATCTGGGGCTGTGGGAAATTTTTGACAGGGTGTAGCGCTTTTCATTGAAATATTTGTAATTATTTTCTTTCCCAATTGTGAAAGCGCAAAGGAAATGCTACTATGGTTTCACTATTCGTAGCGGGTTATCAGCGATATTTCTCTAAGCGCTCATAATCTACCTTATTATTCGCAGGAAGAGCGGAAAGACCCAGCGAGTTCCGTTGTCTGCCCATTGACGTCGTCGGAGACGATGGAGTCCAAAGTGAAAATGTTGAAAGGCTTCTACCCGCTTCTGGACAACAGACAGTTGGAGTTCCTGACGTCGGTAGATGAAATAATGTCGTGTGAACTGTGCAACACGATCAGCAAATCTTACTTCGTGGGAAAGTGTAGACATTTTTTCTGTTCGGACTGCTATTACCTCATCAAGAAAGAAACATTTCCAAAATGTCCTCTGGACGACGATGACTGGAAACTTAAAACCTCCTGCTGTTTGCCCGAAGACAGCCTATCAAGGAGTCGTGTGCGCTGTCCCAACTCTGCCTACGGTTGTAAGTTTGGAGACTCACTGAGCAGGGTGAACGACCACGTTGGCCGTTGCCAGTTCTATCCGCTACCGTGCATTAAATGCGGAGATACGGTTGGCCACAACAATCTTCTAAGTCATCGTCGACGCTCTTGCGGGTTCAGGCACACGAAGACGGCGGATCCGAAGCCCGCAGTCTTGGATACCGTTCAGTGAAGGACTCACTCGCGTTAAAACCGTTATACTTTCTCCGGTGTTTGCCAGACGAAGCACGTTTGGCTCAATCCAGTTTTCAATAAAGAGAGAACGTTATTTTATAGTATAGAACTTGTTTCATCATCTTAACGAAGAGCAGTATGGTGAGGGTTTTAGGCTTTGCAGATTTATTTTAATGAAGCAGTAAAAAACTACTCTAATGTGGTACCTCTGCAGCTGATTTGTACCCGGTGTGAGCATTTCGCTTGCGCAGAAACCAGATTCCCGTGAAGCGCATGCGCATGCAGTGCCTAAGCTAGCGCAGCCGCAGTGCCGTAACGTCATAGTTGAGTTTGTGCATACAGCCAGGGAGCATGATAGAGTGGGCAAATCTTCACGATAAGTGAAAATATGAACTTTTTTTTTTAATTTGTTTTTGATTGGATAGTATAAACGTGGCTCCAATTAGAATCTCGCTAAGTGCCGCGAAAAAGCACCACGGTATATTTTAGAAAGAAATGGGGCGCGTGGAAAGCACGGGGGTGCGCTAAAGGGACCAGTACAATTTAGCGGACACACAAAACGTAAAGATGTAAAAGCTGCGCGGGCGCGTCTTCGCACTCCCAGTCTTCCGTGCAGTTGCACGAGTGCTCTATTTTACAATGATGCTCAGCAAGTTTCTAATGGAAATCACATGCCTATTTTACTAAATCAAAGAACTACCGCGTTTCACGTTTTTGGTAAACTGGTCGTGATGACTAGCCCCCTGTACTGTGTGCCCCCTAGCCGCATTACCATGGCCTCTGAGACTTCCGGAATGGCCGAGATTCCGGCCATTCCATTAGTCGGGAGAGACTGAGGTACGCGGAGAGAAAGTCGTTTGCTTGCGCAGGAGTCGCGGTGACATCAGAACAACGCCAAGCTATGATTGGCTTTGATCGAAAGGATGTCAGATCTCAAGGCTAGATGCATTGAAGTCTACTTACTCTATTTTTCAGTCAGCCAATAAGAGCCCGGAGTTCTAATATCACCGCAACCCTTGTGTAGGAAGCAGACGAACTTGCTCTCCCCACAGGTACAAGCCCGAAACTCATCATCTACCTTGGTTGGCCAGCATCTCAGGAAAAAAGGTGATCGTTTGCTCAAATTTTTATCATTTCTTTTTACTACAACACACTTTTTCAAGAAAGCGGTAAATTAGAATCTGTCTGTGTGTGTGTGTGTGTGTGTGTGTTGTGTGTGTGTTGTGTGTGTGCGTGTGCGTGTGTTGTGTGTGCGTGTGTGTTGTGTGTGCGTGTGTGTGTGTGTTATAAAACCGGGAAATATGATAAATGCACGCCTGATTGTTTTCAGACAAACTGCGCCTCCTATAATTTCCTACAAATAATAGTGGCGAATCAATAACAACGTAAGTTTCTGACCCAAAAATACAATTTTCTTTGTGAGACCGACCAGGCGAAAAGTCATGCTCATGGTTCACTGGCAGATAACTTTACTGAATACGAGGTAAGGAAAGTTCAAGCTCTTTGGTTTTGTCATTCGCTTGGGACTTCGAATTACATTGTTTTTTTCGTTATACCTTTGTTGCATATAATAACTTTGGCTGTTCCGAACCAAATGCATGGCCCCGGTGCACATGGTTGTGCTGGTTAGCCATCTTGAAATTAGCGAGGTATATATAGCGAGGCGATAAAACATGAATTCATTAATTACAGGCTATATACGCAAAGAGCATGCCCTTACGTGTGCAATAGCCGGATGAGCGAGAGCTCACTGGTCGATTCCATTCCATTTTCGTTGAACATATCTAGTTAAGGTTCATCCATGCATGAAATGGGTCCTGACAGGTTCAAATCATTTTTTTGATATTATTATTCTAAATGATTGAAAACGACACCTGGACATTACCCTCAACACTTTCGAAACTTGAAAACTCAGTATTTGTGAAGTAAAAAAAAAAAAAAAAAGATTTCAAAAATCCGAATTTGAAGCTCCTGCGCGATCCGCGCCAGTGCAGCGACGTCAAAGATTGAGTCCTCCTGCAACTGGTGTTTCTCTTACGCCTCTCTGTCGTGTTCCGCCCGCGTCCCGCGATCGACAGCTCCGTGCGTGTCGCCTATCGCTGTGAGCAGACGACGTTTCCCTTTCCAGTTTGAACGTCTTTAAAGGGATGCTGAACCGAAATCTAGATTTCACAAAACACGCGGCAAAAGCGTGCAACGGGGTGCTACAAACACCAAAACATCGCTCATACAGCGATATCACGAACGGATGACCGTATTTTTCAAAAAAAAAAAAAAAGCGGCGCATTTGACAGAAATGTTTGTCATATTTCTCCGAGAAGGAGAAGCAACGGCCTTGCGTCTAAGGCCCTTCCCCCGCTCTTTTCTCCTCTCCGCGTCTCGCTCCCTCTCCCATTCCGACGCTGGCGCCGCCAACGGTGTCCCCCCGGTGAGCGCCACTGCGGGAGTCTGCTGGCAAATCCTTCCTATTAGCCCCGAGAAGTTCGCCTGGCGCCCCCTTACGGCGAACCGCGGTGACGTCACGGCGAGGAGAGAATTTTTCCCCGACTCGTCCCGCTCGCCCTGTGGACGCTGTGACGACGCTAGCTGTCGGCGCGGTCGTTTCTATTTAATTTTTTTTTTGGCGTGCTTTTCGTAGGAAGTGTAAATTTTTATATACGCCTTTATTGAGGTATTGCCTGTAGCTACAGGCGAAACTTCAACGAGCATTTTAAGCATGGCTGACAGGCCAGGCAACGCATGAACCTGAACCACAGCTGGTATGTGAAAATAAAGAAATATGGCCACAATTGCAGGGGCATCACTACAGATTTACATCTCGCACAATAAACGCTGCTGATGGTCCGAATGAATTGGCAGGTTATGTATACTATTTTTTTTTTTTTTTGTATCTCTGTCTTTAAACAAGATCGCCGAAGCAGAAAAGCTGCATGCTGATCGAGCAACGTGCTAAATACAGTCTCGGCCATGGGGAGAGAATCACAAGTAAGACAGCCCAAGTGCAGGGGCAAAGTAAAAAAACACACAAGGAACATTTATTATATACATTGCTCGCACTTGACCTTTGCTGGATTCGGATAGTATTTCAATGAACTACACGGATGGTATCTGTGGACTTGTTTATATCAATTTTCAAGTAATATATAACAAACATAAGTTAGGGTGTTGTTGCGACTCGGGACTTGTCCATGTAGTCGATCTCCGCTGGAGCCATGCGTCACCCAGGACATCGGGCAGAGTTGGTAGCGAGCCAGGGTGTCTCTTCTCAAACTGTTTATTTACATTCTATGTACAGTCTGCCGTACGGCATGAGAACAACGTGAGAACACACCGAGAGCGCGTAACACCGCTCTTTTTATAAGGTCCCCCTTCCCTACGTCTCTAGGCCAGGACGCCGCTCCCCAACTGGTCAGGCCCCGCCCACTTGCACGCACAAGCGCACAGCGTAGTAGCGGCCGGACATCACATCCCGGCGCTGAGTCACTCCCGCCCTCGAATGCCGCGCCGAGGAGGCGACAACAAAGGGTCCACTCTCCGCCTGGGAGACGACGCTGGCCGAGGTGGTGCCGATCTCTCCATTAGGCGGCTTTGTGGCACGAAGAGGGTTGGGCCGGAACAACCGCAAGTGGCGTCCGAAGATGATCCGTGCTGAACACACCCTCACGGAGGTCCCGCAGCTGGCGCACCGTCATCCGGAATCTTCGCACAATAATCCCCGGTTCCTGCGTCGGGTGACCCTGTTTCGGGCCAGTGTAATCCCCGCCAGAAGTAAGGGTCCGGCTCAGCTTCGCGCCTAGGTGTGGCGGCATCAACACGGTGGTCCTCCGTCGAGAGCCATCCCTTTGTCGCCGCTCGCTTCGTTTCCGGGCTCAATCTCAACTGACCGGAACCAAATGGCGACGATTCTCAAGGGGGTTCCCCAGTGCCGGGTGGTTTAGATAGAGAGGGTCTGGTCCGGGGGCCATTCATAACAGCTCCTCCGCCGCCAGGTAGTGGACTCGAAGGGGTTGCAGTCACCGCTGCTCTCCGAAGAGTCCAGGAAGTTCCGCTTCCTCCGTAGACTTTTTTGGCGAACGAAGAACTGCCCCGGGTGGAGCAGACTTGGGTGAAGACCTGTCGAAGGCATAACAGAACCCGCAAAAAAGCCAAAGCCGTAACCCCAGCCAGTGCCCAACACTCCACCAGTGAAATTTACCAGGTAGCGAAAACAAACAATTAAGACCACTAATGTGAATACGATCAACCCCGTAACTGATACGTCAAAATATCTAGAAAATATACACCACGCAACCAAATGTAAAGGTTAGAGGAACATACCGCCTCTGAAAGCCGGCGATTAACTCATTCAATTTTGATCCCAAGGAAAGTCATATGATGATGCTTTTCATTAAAATCAAGCTGACATCGAACCATACAGTCCCTAAATACATAACACAAGTGACACTCCCACAGACGCGATAACCCCCAGCTCCAGCATTCGCTTTGTTTCCTGATCTAGGATTTCTCTCTGCCTAGGAGAGACGCGATAAGGTCTGGAACGGATCGGAGTATCGGTCGTTAATTCGATGTCATGCTCCACTAGGCTGGTTCTCCCTGGTTTATCCGCAAAACAGTCACGAAACTCATTAACCAGCGCGTGGAGTTCGGCTACCTGTGTTGGATCTAACTCCGTCTCGCGTTCTACCCTCTCCAGCATTCGCTGGAGAGACTCACCTCCTGGCTCGTTACCGACCGCGGGAAAGTCTGCTTCGACTTCTTCGGGCATGTTTAGTGCTAGGTTGACTACTGCCTCCCGTTGTCGGTATGGTTTCATTAAGTTGCTGTGAAATATCCTGGCTTCCCTACGCCGGCCAGGCATCTTCACCGCATAGTTCGTGTCAGACAACTTTCCAACTACCTCAGCTGGCCCCTCCCACTGAACTTCTAGTTTATTCTTCTTAGTGGGCCTGAGCAGCATGACCGCGTCCCCTACGGCGAACGTGCGACGTCTGGCTGTTCTGTCGTAATAGAGTTTGGCTTTCGTCTGCGCGGC